TCTCTGACAGTATGTCGCAGTCTCCTGCTGGATCCGGCCTGTGTTCTCAAGCACACATCCCATCTTGCTGCCTGGCTCTTCCCACTGTCTACGGAGGATGGCTGAGCCTTTCCTGATCTGGTTCCTCTCCTCCTATCACTTCCCCACCTCCCAAGATCTAGCCACAGATGTGGGGAACACGGATGCTTCTTCCCCAGCAGCCAATCCCCTCTCCTGGGCAGACCCCAGCTGTAGTTCACGGTTCCCCTGTCCCTGGCAGCCCACAAATCTGAGGTGGACCCCACCCCAGGGCCGGCCCCTGAGTCATCTTGTCCTGTCCCAGCACCCCAAGCCCTTTGCCAGCTCAGGCAGCGTCGGCATCTCCCTCATGGCAGTCGCGAGTGCGGAGGGGACGTGGGGACTGAGGGAACCCAGCTGGGACCTGTTATTTCATCTCCTGCCCAATGTGAAGAAGGAGGCATCATGCCCCAATTCTTCTGGCCATATCTGGGGCAAACGCAAAGACGGGGGAAATTACAGACTAGTCCTGGTTAGCTACAACTGAGCTACCTCCCCCAAATAATTCACAACACCCTTTCGGATGTGGGAGTGCCCCCCCCCCCATTCCCAGCAGGAAGGACAGGCCCACTGTGCAGAGGAGATAGTGCCGTGTTAACAGATGGCAGAGAGGCCACTCAACCGCTTTTGTCTTGTCTTATCTAGCAAGAAGGATGGTCTTCAAACTGAAAAAAGGAGAGGATGTACAACAGGGAATATGGCCCATCTCTCGCTGCTTTTAAGGTCTTCCGTCCTCAGACTGCTGATAGAATGCAAGGCCGACTGGCAGATCCGAGCGGGACAAGGAGGGTAGGCTGAGAGCACCACACGCTGGTCCCAGACCTTGACCTCAGCCCCAGGGAACTCCAGAACAGCCTCTCAAAGGTGCTTGCAAGTGTTCAGAAAGCAATCGTAGTAACAACAGCAGCAGCAATCCTGATAGAGGGCCTACTCTGTGCAGATCCCAGACTGAGCACTTCCCATATATAAGCTCCCATATATCAACCTCCACGATAACCCAATGGAACGGGGACTACTATCACCCCCACTTTATGGATGAATAAACAGAGGCTCAGAAAGGTTAGGGGAAAAAAAGCAAGACATGAGAAGTCAATATGGTTTCAGACCACACTCCTATGTACTTGTCTGTCTGCTCCCACGTATTAGGGACTTTCAGAGTTGGGACAGTGGAATTTCCCCCCATCTTTGTAGTCCTTAAAAGCTCAATCTTTGTGTTTCCGTTACAGGCACTTATGTTTTTATCAAATTTTCTTGTCTTCTCTTTTCTGCTCTGACTCCTAAGCCAATAAATCAGGGGGGATGTCAGAGGCCAACCTAATTTACACATAATACCATTACTAACTCCTGTGCATACTTTATTCAGACTTCCTTAGTTTTTACCTAATGTCCTGTTCTTGTTCCATGATCCCATCTGCCTTACATGCAGTTGTCGTGTCTGCTTAGGCTCTGCTGGGCTGTGACAGTTTCTCAGACTTCCCTCGGTTTTGATGACCTTGGCAAATTGAAAGAATACTAAGCAGCTGTTCTGCAGAATATCCTTCGGTTGGGGTTTGTCTGATATTTTACTCACGACTAGACTGGGGTTTGGGGAGGAAGACCGTAGAGGTAAAGAGCCTCTTATCACGTCACACCAAGGGTACACATTGTCTACATGACTTATCACTATTGATGTTGATCGTGTGGCTGAGACAGTGCTAGTCAGGCTTCTCTGCTGAAAAGTTACGCCTTTAGAAGGCAGCCACTATGCACATCTGACACTTCTTTCAAGGGGTGGGGAGTTAGGCTCTGCCTCCTTGGTGGGGAATTATCTACATAAATTACTTGAATTTCTTCTGTATATTTTCCTAGTATTTATTTATTCACTCATTCAATCATTTATATTAGTATGGCCTCATGGGTATTTTATTTTATTCTTTGCGACCCAGTATATTTTGAGCAGTTCAAAGGATTCTGGCATCCCTGGTATTCTGGAGGGAGTTGGTAAAACGCAGGTAACCAGCTCTGAGAAGTTCACTGAACGCCATAGCTAGTGAACCACAGCTGTCTACCCTACAGCGCTAGTGGGTTGGGAAATCAAGGTTTCCACTTGAGTTTTGAACAAACGAAATAGAAACTGTCCAAGCACATAGAATTTCGAAGGCATCCCTAACTGTGGAGAAATGACTTCCCTCCACCGTAATGTGTAGCGAGGACTATGCAGAATGTACGTCCGTGGGTCTCCGTCAAGGATAGTGTGAGTAGAACCGCCCCTACCAAGCCCTGTCCGTGGTCCTGCCCTGTGTTTCCAATCAGCCTGTGGATTCAGATAGAAGCACTGCTTCTCTACCCCTGCAGGTAGCATAGCATGAGAGTGACAGAGGTAGGATTTTAAATTCTCTCCACTGTCTATTACAATGGGATGAAACGAACGAGATGAAAGTTAATAGGAAAAAGGGCCAAATAACAGGTTTTGATTCGAGAAATTATTGACACAGACCAGAGGCCTGCTTTCTTCAACAAGCCAGGATTATTAATATTTTGTTTTAAAAAAGGGATTGCATTAGAGTAGAGAGACCTAAGGGTCACAACATTGATGCACTGCACAGTCGTAGAGAGGAAACTGGTTTAAACAAAACAGCAAAAATGGACATTTTGGGGCCAAACAGAGAAATGTGAACAAGGTCTGCATATTAAGTGAGATGAAAATTTACTGAAGCAGAAAGTGCTGATCATTTACCGGGGAAAAAAATGAGGTTAAAAAACAGTATGCACAGCATGATCTCATTTTATGGGGGAAATCTACATACAAGCATAGAAACAGTTCTGGAAGGATGTAACCAAGGTGTCACAGTGGAGCTGCCTGGGAGATGGGAACATAATACCCACATTTCTAATTTCCTACAGTGCGTACAAACTGCTTCTCTAATATGATTATGCTGTAAAAAGAAAGAAATCACTGACCCTTCTCCAGGACTGAGGGGAATCCTGGTTTGGCAGAGGTTTCTAAGAAAGATCCCTGGGGGTCTGGATGGCCAGAAACGTAATATGAATGGAAAGCTTGGTGCACCATGCACAAGGCAGCCTCCTGGGTGTGTGTCAGGTGTTGGGGTTGGAGCAGTCCTGGGGGTCTCCCGACCCAGGTCCTCTGCATTATTACTAGGAAAACTGAGTCACACAAATCAGTTGATGGCAGCTCCAGGGCCATAAGCCAGAGATTTAGCCCCTACCAGGTCATATGGAAATGGCTGGGGCTTCAGGAACAGAGGGTATTCGACCTGGAGAAGTGAAGACGGGAAGGAGTGGATGGGAAGGAGCTAAGGGGGCAGGAGTGTTCTTTTCAAATATTTAAAGGCTGCCACACAGAAGAGAGACCCATGTGAGTCCCTGTGCAGAACCGAGATGACTACGTGACAAGCAGGTTTGGCTCTAAGAGTGCAGGAAGGAGAAGGTTCCAACAACAGCAGCTGTCCAGCTCAGGGATAAGGTGGTGACGCTTGCTAGGGGCTCAGGGGGCCTCCTGCACAGATTGCTGGGAGAACCGCTTTGCTATTCTGGAACTCCGGGTTCCATCAGAGCCAGGCAGGTGCTTCCCCCTGTAGCCTGTGTCCTGGGAGGAGTGCTGGGGCTCTCCCCATGCTAAGGGGCTGCTCGGCTGGCCTCGGAGGCAGCCACTGGTGAGGGCGAGAGGCTTGGCTGGCCTTTGGGGAAGAAGATCCTGATGGCTGCAGGAAATGTGGACTCTAACAAGAAGCACAGGAGCGAGCTTCCTGGGATGGGGTAGCTGACTCCTCCAACTTGATAACCTGCCTCATCCTCTTCCACCTATTGCTCCCAGGTCCTGGCCATGCCCAGGTGCCATGGAGAGATGGGTATCTATCATCTCCCCCCTTGCCAGGTGGCAGAGAGGCACGGGTCCAACCTAACCAAGTCCTGGCTTCTCCCATGTTCTGGAATGCTAGGCACGAGGTGCCCCAGGAACAGAATGCCAGCCAGTGCCCATCTGATGCCCCCGGTGCCCACACTCCCCATGCAGAGCCTGAGGCCTTAGGTGGCCTTGGAAACTCAGGGCTTCTGTTCCCAGGAGAAAACCCCTGACCATGTCAGAGTGGGCAGTAACTCGAGAATGAGGACGCTCCCCGTCAGGTGGGTGTCCTGCCCTCCCTCCCGGACCCAAGTCACCAAGTCCTTGTGCCCATGGCACGAGAGGACACTGGTCGAGGGAGCATTTATCGCTATTCCTCTGGCTACCCCACTGGCAACACCCACCCACTGATTCTGGCCCTGCTAACAACCAACAGAACTCCTGCTTTCCCCAAATAGACGCGGGCCTATCGCAGGGGACACTGCAAGCTTGCCTCTGGCTGGCCTGCCGCAGCTAACACAGCCAGCTGCCAGCCAGGCCTGTCCATCGGAGCCCGAAAGAGGGGTCATCAGGTGTCATCCTCCTCCTGGGTGCGAGGCCCGGTGGGTGCAGTCCGGCTGCAGCGCGCTCCCAGTGGGCCCGTCCACCCACTGGCTGGGCCCAAAGGGGCGCACGCCCCACCCCCCGCCGCCCCCCACCGCGTCCTGGAATTCCGTTCCCACAGACCCGGGCCGGCTCTGTCTCCGCAGGGGCAGGGAGGGCGGGGGTCCCGAAGCCGGGTTCTTGACAGCGCCTTCCCCCAAGTGGGTTTTCACACGGGCCAAAGGGACCCGCACTGCGGGGGAGGGAAGGTGGGCAGAGAAGCCACCCTGGGCGTGCCGCGTGCCGCTCGCCGCCGCGGGCGCTGTTGGCTGGGGGGGGGGGGGGGGGGGCGGGGGGGGGAAGCGGGGGGCCGACCGGGCAGGGGGAGGGGCGGGTGCCGGGAGGTAGGGGGCCCGCTCGGGCGGTGGGGGTGGGGGAAGGGTCTGGCGCCGGCGGGGCCCCTCCCGGGCAGGTGGAGGGCAGGGCCGCCGGCGGGGGCCCGGGGACGCGGCGCCCTTACCTCCTCGCCCTGGCCGAAGCGCAGCCCCAGCGCCGCGACGCGCTCCACGCGCAGGAAGCCGTCGGGGTCGCGGCCGCACACCTCGAACACCTCGCGCAGGCGGCGCACGGAGCGCAGCAGAGCCGCGGGGGCGCCCGCCCAGCCCGCGCCGCCCGCCATC